ATATATATATATATATGTGTGTGTGTGTGTGTGTGTGTGTGTGTATATATATGCATACATTCCGAGTGAATATATACGCTCAAACTACGGCCTGAAATTTCAATTTCATTGTAGTCTCGAACTCGTAGCAAGTTACTACTCGTCGCGTCGATTTTAACCTCAAGCAGAAACTCAGTCACATTATCTTTCAAGTATTTTGCAAGTATCTGCGAGATATAATTCTGTGATTCGTTTTTTTTTTTGCAAGAAAAGAAGTTACAAATTGTATTATAATTATTTGTTTTGATATGCGAGATGTTCTAAAGAATTTTTGACTTTAGCTTTAACTTCAGTGCTTCTAACATCTTTCGAATCGAATTTCTTTAAACGGGATTCTAATAAATAATTACATAAATTATTAATGCATTTTTCATAATCCGCTTTAAATTTATTGATAATTTAAGTTTTAATTCAGAATTCTGGAAGGATTCAATTTAATGAAATGATATCGAGGATTCTATATGTCCATTGCTTCGTAAAATATGGAGCAATAGATATTATTATATAAGTACGAAGTGTTGCATTAATATGTATATATATATATTAGGCATTACGACAGATTGCTCGGAAGATTTCCTGAAGTCTGTCATAATTGGAACGTTGCAAACTTTTATTGGTATAAAGGTGCGTGAGCCACTCGATCAGTAAGTTTAACGGTATACATATACCGTTGTCATTGTATCGTGTCTACCTCTGCAAAATCTCGCGCAATTGTCTAATATATTACTGCAATACCCTGTATATACATACACTTCAGAAGTTTACTTTATACAATAATTTGTTTTCATTCGTTTGTATCACTATGAGATGTAATAAGAATAGACTGTTCATTCTTATCATTATAAGTTATCACTATATTATTGGTTTAAAATGAACTTGAATTACAATTTCTCTCTCTCTCTCTCTCTCTCTCTCTCTCTCTCTCTCTCTCTCTCTCTCTCTCTCTCTCTCTGTATTTTATCTCTCTTTCTTTCAAATATCGAATTAAAGAAAGATATGGATAGAATTGAAGAGAAGTATTGATATGTTCAATTATTTCTAAAGGAGCTCTGATGCTAAAGTCAGAGAAGTTTATGTCTACGTCTATGATTTGTAGGCACAAATTATCTCTAAATTGATCAAAATAACTAATAATTAATAATTTTTTTTATATTTTTGAATAATGTTGTAGTATTACTATCACAATTTGTTCAATCAAATGATGATTTGTCGAGTCGCAAGAAAACTCGCAATACGTAAACCGAATTGCTTTGACTTGTAGATGCCTTTCACGTTATAAAGTGACTCTCATCGAAAGAAGCTATACACTTACGATGGGCAAGCTTTTGAGTCTTTTGGCTCGAGATGAGTCTACTTGTTGCACCCCTCAGAAGTATGATGTCTTCTTGGATTTCGAAAGTAAGTCGTATATAAATGATATTTCATGAAAAATTTTAATCTTAATTCTAAGTGCTATTTTTCATGTTACTTGCTGTGCACTAATATTTTCCGTAATATAGTCTTGGCCACAAGTATAAAGCATCCCCAATTTATTACATTTCCTTAGAAAAGATTGTAATAAAATCGAAAGAAAAACTAACAAAATATTGAAATTGTTACAGAAATAGTATTCTTTTAATAAAATTGTTTTAATTTATTTTTTGTTAAATATAAAATATTTACATCTTTGTGGGAATGTTTATACTTTTGGTCAAAGCTGTACTATACAATGTACAATTCCATATTATAAAGAAATAAATGCATCTTCCATATCGAGATGTAACAAAAGCTATTACATAGCAAAGAGACATACATATGTTATTTGATAATTATCGATCTGTCCTATTTGTCTATTCCACAGATGCACAACCGTCGGACATCGAACGTGAAACATTCGAGGCGGTGCAAAGAGTGCTGAAAAATTCAGAGTCCACTTTAGAAGAGATACAGTGTTACAAAGGAGCCGGGAAAGAAATCAGAGAGGCAATCTCGGCACCCACGGAGGAATGTCAACGAAAAGCATACCTAACTGTGGCACCTCTTGTAGCAAAACTCAAACGATTCTACGAATTTTCCTTGGAACTCGGTACGCTTGATTAATCATAATAACGATAAGTTTTTTTATAAATAGCGATGTTACACTTTACTTCTTGGAAACTCAATATCGAATATTGGAAAAACTTCTTCCTGTACCCGCGGAATGCTATTAGCCATATTTGTGGTATAAGTTAATTATACTAGATACTGGTGGTTATCGGAAATATAAAATGTGGAAAACAGCATTTTAGAACTGATCTTTAGATTACTTCGATACTCTTTTAATGAATATTTTTTAAATAAAAATATGTAAAGTAGATTAATATAAAAAATACAATATTTGGATTTCTGCAATTTTATATTTTGGTGTTTATTAATTATCCTAAAGTTAGTGAGAAAAAGAAAGAGAGAGAAAGTGTAAAAAAAATTATAAATTATCCATTTATTTATTTCTATCAATTCTTGACATTATTACATTATATGCTGTTAATTTTTGTGCTGCTTACTTTTTGGCTACATAATATTACGTATAATAAGCTATGTAATAATACATGTATTAATATTGATTAATTATTAATGTAGTTTATCTAAAATTATAAACAAAGTTTCCATTTCACATAAATAAATTTAAATATTAAGTTCAACAATAATTTTTATTTATGTAGAAAGGATTGTACCGAAAATTCTGGGACAATTATGCTCGGGAAACCTTTCACCGACGCAACATCTGGAGACGCAACAGGCACTAGTGAAGCAATTGGCGGAGATATTGGAATTTGTACTGAAGTTCGACGAGTATAAAATGAAAACGCCGGCGATTCAGAATGACTTCAGCTACTATCGTAGAACATTGACGAGGGCATCGCTGACGTGTCAGGACAACGCCGAAAAGGACCTAGTTGTTGGGAACGAACTCGCTAACCGAATGTCCTTGTTTTACGCCCACGCGACACCCATGCTTCGAGTTCTGAGTCACGCGACCATTACTTTCTTGATGGACGTAAGTGGTATCGCCTCTCTACATTGTTCCCGTCCGCACGATCTCCCATTGTTATCCGGACAATTATTGATCCGACCAGATGTTAACTGATGGCAATTAGATGAAATTCTGCGGTTATCTAAGCAATTTCTCGGTTTATCCCTTAATCATTCTGATTAATTGAAGAAATAAATCTAGTTTCTATAATTCTGTTTCCGTAACATTATTTATTTCATCAATTAAATTCAAACATAATAATTTGATCGATCAGTGCATCTTAAAAAATCGCAAATTTATTATTTGTTAATAATTTTTCAAATGGATTTATATTAATAATTGTGTATAAAAAAATATGTGATTTATTTATATAAATATATTTATATAAATATATGTATAAGATTAACTCTGATAAATTCAATTTTTTCTTCTATGTTATGAAATAGAAGAGTAAATATAAAAAATAGCGTCAACATTGTAAATCTTATTTATTTTATTTGAAATTTTTTCAAGACTTAATTATTCTGACACATTTTTCACTGTAATACAATGAATCGTGAACTTTCATTCATATTGATTGCGATGACAAATAACCGCGTTACGTGATCGACATGCGATGTAATGACAAGACGGACAGAGAAAAAAAATTGTCGACAATAATAATGGCTCTGCTGAACTGGAAAATTGACAGGTATTCTAGCCTGCGATTTAAATTACCCGAGCTCTATATAGACTACAGACAAGCAAACGTGCTACAGATATACTCGAGCCTGATATAACATACAAGTTTTTAATCAAAATCGATAACGAAACAATACTTTAATTGAGTACTACCTTCAATACGCAAATATGCATTTCATGATAACATGATGTTTTTTAAAAGCGAGCTTTTCAATAAATATAAAAAAATTTGTATTGAAAATATTTGTAAATTCGCGCGCGCGGAATAGCAAAGTTGCCACGATATTATACGTTTATTATACTCGTAAAACTATATTTTTTTTTATTTTTAGAACGAAGACATAGCCAGGGAAAACATTACAGAAACGCTTGGTACAATGGCAAAAGTGTGTCTTCGAATGTTGGAAAACCCGTAAGTATATCTATCTACGAGTTCCATTAATATGCAAAGAGAAGAGAATTGTCTTAAGAAAGCAGGAATTTCTTCGCGAAGCTAATTTGGGAAATATATTCTACTAGGAATTTGTTGGCGCAATTCCAACGAGAGGAAACTCAGCTCTTCGTCTTGAGGGTTATGGTAGGTTTGGTGATTCTCTATGATCATGTACATCCCCAAGGTGCCTTTGTAAAGGGTTCAAACGTGGATGTAAGTATATAAAAAATTTTGTAGTAATGTTTTAGAAA